TCAGTGGAAGGCCATTCTTCTCTAAGAGGGCCCGTTGGTGGGTACTCACCGGGAGGGTACTGTGATCGTGAGTGTGATCGTTGAAGACCAGCGATGGTCACAAAGACGTCTTGACCCACTATGGCAGGATCCTTCAGAGGCATTTTGCGCTGCCTAGACATGTTTCCAGTTGGGGTCCATGTCTAGTCACTTACACAAGGACACAAGGGGCAAGCTTCCGCATTTGGTTGCAAGTCCGCGGTGGCTTCCTGAGATCGTTTGATCGCTGCCATTCTGAATCCGGCTTTCGCAAAGCCTCGTGGAGGGAAGAGGAACGCACAGAGCTGATCAAGATGGCATCCGTGAACGGGGGAAAAAAGACAGGGGCAACTGATTGCACTGCAACCCCTTGCAGCTATTGTTTTTGTTAGTTGCATCAGTCTCAACACAAGAGGCACAAGGAGTTCGGAGGGTTCACTTTTGAGCAAGATCCAGTGGCAACCGCTGGCAGGATCGAGTGCGCCGAGAGATTCGCCAGCACTTTGGCTCCTCGGCACAAAATACAAGCTGTGTGAAATATTGTGATCGGGCCCTGCTCTTCACTTAATGTCACTCTTGCGTGCTGTGTGTGTGTGTGTGTGAGCGCTCGCATGAGCGAATTTGTGCAGACAATGTATAGCATGTTTTGAGTGTATCCATGTATGATTTGTTTGTATAGTATGCTTGTATGTGTGAGTCTAGGTGTTTAAGTTCAACCCTTGGACACACATACCCAATTTGGCGTGGTATGGCAGGCAGCACGTTCGTATGTTTGAGCATGGGTCACTGGGTTTTGTTTTGGAGTGGCTTTGCATAGTCATAGCAATTGTGAAGCGGCAGAGCAAGGCTTGCTTTTTGACCCCAATCCACCAAGAACATGTTCATGGTCGATGCCTGGCGAAGGCGAGCGCCGGCGCCTGCACTTGGTTGGTGGGCACCTGCGGCGCGCGCGGGGCGTGCCGTTGGGAAGCGAAGAGGACGCTCGGCGGCGAAGTGGCTCCTTCAGTGACGAGTTTTTAGACTTGGCAGTGGCTCAAAATTAAAGAGCTCGGGTTACGCAGGTTTTGGCCCATGTTTCCACTTCCCAGGGCAACCCATGTCGGTACCACTTTTTTGAGCCACCACTTGGAATGCCAGCACTGGGAATGACGGGAGTGCGATATTGATACCTTGTTGCCAGAAAAGCTGCGTGATTCGGATGTGAAAGCTGTGGGCCGGAGCCAACGGGCCTCTTTTTTTTGGCCATGTCATTTTGGGCCTTTGAGGATTGACTGCCGTCATGCCAAGTTTGCCCTGTGACTTCACTGTTCTTGGCATGTTTTTTGTTTTTTTAGTTTTTTGGTTCTGTTCATTTTTACTGGGGGTCTGCAGAAAGCAAAAAAAACGCTACCATACCAAGAGTAGAGATGCTGTGTGCTTGAAACTTGTTTGTTCGCCAGAAAGACAAACAGCAATATCGTGAACTACCTGAGGTGCCTTTGCAGGTGTCCATGTATTCCCCTTTTGCGTGGTTTTTCAACATCACCTGTTTGGCCCATTCAAGGTGTGGTTCCCCCGATACCAGTGATGTTTTTAACGTGAAATATGTAGGGACCTGTTTTTGATTCGGCCTTCTGAGAGAGGAGTTGGATCCCGTATGTCAGCCGTTTTGTTTTGGATTTGCACTCGTCCAAGGCCAACGGACCAAGTGTTTGCCACGTGGACAAGGCGAACATCAGTCACTCGGCCAAAAAGGCAGCCAAGCAGAGGGATTCTGTGCTTTGACTGAAGAAAAGGGTGTCATCTTGGCGGCTGGAAGTGCATGTGCATGGCTGTCTCCTGCAAATGTTGAGTGGACTTGCGTAAAAGGAGGCCGGTCCAGATGTCATCACAAGAAAGGAGTTTCACGAGGTGCTTGGGGCCTCTTGTCCAAGTTCCTTGCGGACACCAGTTTCGCCAAGACAAGGGTATGTGCACAAGGCACATCTTGGTCGACAAGGACACTGATGTGTTCCCAAGACGGTGGCTTCATGCTTCCCAATCGAACTCATGGCAATTTGATTCGCTGATCTTGTCTTGACTGCTATTGGGTTGAATCTTTAGACTTTAACTTTTTGGGAAATATATGTGTTTTCCACTAAACCCCCAAAAAGTTAAACTTTTTTGCAGGGGGGTCAGCAGCAACCAAGTTGTGAGGCTACTACGACTACAGCGCCATTGTGTACTTCTCCACGCAGGGCGTTGACTTTGGGGGTGGCAACTTGGAATAACGAAAGGAGCCGCGGTCATGATGACCAGGTCCCCCAGTAGTGCCCTTTTACGCTTTTGGGGGAGGGTTCCCCTACTAAAATAGACTACAGAACTAACGGTACCCTTATTCTAACCTCTCTACTGGAGGACCTAGATGAAGCCTGTTGCCCGAGAACATGCCCGAGAACATGCTTTAGCCAAGTGCCTCTTGAAGTGTCTGGTTAAGCTTTAGACCAACCTGAAAAAGCGCAGCCGCAAAGAACCACAAGCCCCAAATGGATGATGCCAGCTACGTCCAAAATCTACAGATGCGCCTTGAAAGGGAAGCTATTACTTTCAGCGTTGCCAGGGTACGGGCATCGCAGGGTTTGAGAATGTGCGTAGTTTGTGGGATCCATGACCAAGCCTCACAGTTTGCCAGCCGTAAAGTAGGAAACTAGATGTTTTCACGTTTTGACACCAATGGTCCCTACCAAACGGCTATCATATGTGGTTCTACAAGGACCCACACAAAGTATGCTTTCTTTACACGTACCCAGTTATCCCCCTGTCCATTACGCCTCAGTTTCGAGATGGATCCGACCACAAACCGGATTTCTGCTGTTCGGATTTGGTCTTCACTGTATTGTGCATGTTGTGTATCTTCGCGCAACCGATGTCTGTTTTTTTGTAGTTTCGGGTTTCGGGCTTTGAGGGGGAGATTGAACTCGATCCTGGCAGTTCTTGGATCAACCCCCCCTGGTTTTTTTCGTGTAAACCGATGTGTTTTTCCTTTTTTGCGGGTTTCAGTTTTCGGGTTTCGTGGGAATTGGGATGCATCAACCCCCCGGCAAGCCGTGTTTTTTTTTTGGGGGGGGGGATTGGACAGGATCCTGGGATAAGGATCACCCCAGCGTCCCCACCGCGAGGATTTCTGGACCACCCCCCCGGCGCACGAAGATCCGAATCGAGCGGAGGGGCGCTGGCCTTCAACGACCCGGGCGGGGACCAGTTGGTGCAGCCGCGCCTGGGGCGCTGCGCCATCTTCGCCGCGGGGCCGCGGCATCTGCACCAGGCGCAGGCGGGAAGTTCGGCGGCGGGATTTCGGACGGATGGGGCGGGGTTGCGTAAAACGTGGGGAAAGAGCCAAGAAGCCAAAGCGGGGGGGGGAGGGGGAGGGGGGGTGTCCCAAAAGATGCGTGGTTTCCCTTAACCAGCCAAGAGGGCTTTGCGTGCGAGTGTGTGTGTGTGTGTGTGTGTGTGTCCCGCAAAGAGCGGCGGAAGCCAAAGAGGGGGGAGGCTGTCCCAAAAAGACCCCAAAGATGTAGGGGGGAAGGGTAGTTCTCAAAATGCGGAACGTTGAGATGGTTTGTTTCCGTTTGGCTTTCCATTGTTCGCCATTTGAGAAGGCTTCAAGTGTATTGGCTCCCAAGTACTTGAACTGGACCATGTCGCACACATAAAGCTTCTCCAAACCACCCCCAAAGCTGGGGCTTGACAAGCGATCTCATCCACCCACCCACCTTTTATAATTCAGAACTCCGAAAAGCTCGAATGTTTCAATGTTTTTGATCTTATCAATCTCATTAAAGCACAAAAAACAGGCGGGTCCTGGCGCTTGACAGGCTCCTCCAACCACCCACACCTGGGTCTTCCAGCGGAGTTCCCTGGCTCAGGTGGTGACCTGGGGCTCTCGGTCCATCATGGCGCTCTGGTTCAGCCTGAACTGCCGCCTGGCGGGCGAGGCCGTGCGCATGAACTGGCCAAAAAAGAAAAAGCGAGCGCGTGGCCGAGCGACGGGGCACGACCGATCTGAGCAGTTGGGGGGAGGGAGGGGGAGGATTGATGGACTTAGGGTCTAATATGCAAGCGTTTGATTTTGTTGGGGGGGGTGGTGTTTTGTAGGGCACCGGAGGGCGGGCGAGGGGGACCGCTGAGTTCCATGAAATTGGTGCTGAATTTTAGGTCAGTTTGGTTGACTCCTTTTGTTCCCTGCGGGAGCCTGAAATCCGACCCATACTAATGGACAATCTCCTGCACCAGTGGGTAGGTGGTTTTTGCAGCATTCAGACGGCTTCATCTTTCCTGGCTGGTGAAGCATGGCCTTTTCCTCCAAACAGTGCCACTACGGTGACTGACCAGACACAATGTCTGAAGTTGTTCTTGGGGGGCCCTGCTCCCTTGGGCAAACAAAGGGAGTGTCAAAACAAGCGAAGGCAAGCAATCCATGAAGCCAGCAAGCAAACCTTCCATTTGCTATAAGGATATGTTTTTACTTTTGCCCCTGTTGGTTTTAGATGGAATCTATCACTACTGGAAATATGTTTATTTTTTCCATTTGGGCCTTCACCAAATGGAAGAAGCAGACAAGCAAGCAGAGCAGTTCACCGGAGGTTTGGCCATGGGGCATATCCATTTTCGGGTGGATGAACATCCATTTGCAACCTTTGACGTTTTCGCCTGGTGACGTTAACCTGGTACAGGGTACAGGTCTGCACCTGGGGTAACAGCTGTGGTTTTGACCACCACAGCCAACTGGATGTCAGAAATAGGTACCCCAAATGGTGGAACCATGAACTAAAACCTGTGGTGCCAAATAATTAATGGATTTTTCGGTGTCATTTTGACACCCGTGGGGGCACCCCTTCTCCTGGGAAAATCCCGAAATTTGCCCCCCCCCCCCCCCCCGGCTTTGGGGGGGGGCCCCGCGGGGTTCCCCAGGGGGGCCCGGGGCGGCCCTGGGGGCCGGGGTTTTGGTGGTCCACAGCGCTGAGATCGTGCTGGGCCACAAGTACGACATCCCCGGCTTGGTGGAGTACGCCTCCCCGGTGGCCCCGCGGCCCGAGTTTGGAGCTCCAAGTGGCTTCTGAGGCAAAAAACGAATAGGCCGCCGGAAAATCTGACACCAAAAGAATAGGCCACCAAAAAATAGGCCACCAACAAATAGTCCAAAATTTGGCCATGTTTCCCATTGACCAGGGTACTACGTACCTTTTTTGGACCCACAGAATTGCCAAAGTGGTTTCGATGGGCCCACCTGGACAGCATTTGGGTGGGTTTTGGTTTGTCTCCAACCTTGTGAAAATAAATTGCTTCTTTTGGGAGGGTTCTCCTATGAATTTCTTCGAAGGGAAAGTCACCATTTCGGGGACCCGAATTTTCAGAGCCCAAGTTGGGTCTGGACGACCTCCTACGCAACTGTTGGGGATGGGCCCAGCCCCCAAGTCTGCAGGATCCCGGGGCGTGTTAACCGACCTGTGGGTTCTTGTCGGAATATCCCGAATGAAGGAGTCCCTTTGCTTTGGGGGGGGGGGGTTCCCTGAAAGTGCCATGAAAGAGATAGAGTTCGCGGATTCTTGAGGCATGGGACAGTGTAACACGAGATACTCTAGCATAAGACTGTCGAATGCTTGAATTGACCTTGGCGGGTAGTATGCACATGGAAACACTTTGCAAACTCCCTTCCCTAGATGAAAGGAGCTGACCGGAGTCGCTATCACGGAGTAAAACAGCGCGTATAGTGACAAGCTCCAAAGTTTGCTTCTGAGTCATGATTTCGTCCCGGGCCTCTCCTGATGCAAACTCGGCATTGTACTTTGGATGACATGAGGAACCTGTCCAGATGGGTACCCGTTTGGCTTCCCAAGATCGAAGGTGTATTATGAATTTGGGGAGCACATGGGAGAGACCAGGTTGGGACTGCCCAAGATGTCAGTTTGGAAACTCATGCGAAGCGCGGTGTGAGAACCCGTCAAGCTGCATCAACGTCTTTGTGGAAGGCGCTGGGGAACATCACTCCCGACAACTGCGTGGCCCAGGTGCGCATCCTGCGAGCTGCTTGGACGATGTAGCATCCGAAGGGAACCCAACCTTGATAGCCAATTTCGGGATATAGTATGAATATAAGCTGGATCAGGCGCCACGTCACTTATATTTAAAAACCCAATGTGGGGTGGGTGTGGGCTGGATTGGGGGTTTGATGTTGTTGGAAGATGGCAGCTGGGCGACAGGTTGGAGGTGAGACTTCGCTTGCTTGCCTGCCTGCCTATCTGCCTGCGTGTTGGTTGGTGCGATTCTCTCCAGCGCTGGTTTGTGTGTCTTGCACATCTGTGTGTGTGTGTGCGTGCGTGCGTGCGTGCGTGCGCGCGCGCGCGCGCGCGCGCGGTGTGTGTGTGTGTGTGTGTGTGTGTGTGTGTGTGTGTGTGTGTGTGTGTGTGTGTGTGTGTGTGTGTGTGTGTGTGTGTGTGTGTGTGTGTGTGTGTGTGTGTGTGTGTGTGTGTGTGTGTGTGTGAACCTTCTCTTGCACGAAGGCGGCGTCATGCATCAGGATATGGCAGAAGGACGCTTCAGCCACGTACCTGCGCTCGATGATAAGCTGTTGGTTACCCACTGGATTCTGTGCCGTGATGTTGATGCTGTTGGTCTGTATCTAGAGTGACACTGCCTGGATATGACCTTTATGACTTCTCTGCATTTCAAAGTGTGAATCGCTTGGCACGTCCGACAAGGCGCCAAGTTAGACGGGTTACCATGCCCGGCTCCTCGCTCAGAAGAAGATCTCGTTCAGGGCACCTTTTTGGTGCTGGATTCTTTGAGGTACCCCCTCCCAATCAATGTAGCTCCTGGGCCACGTCTCACCTCAAACTCCGTTCAGCGTTCCTGGTCCGTTCAGATTCAGATTCAGCATGCAGACCCGGTCGGTTCCCCGCTTGACGTCAGGCTGCGTTTGTAGGTCTTCAGGTTTGGTTTCGGTTTCCCGTGTTCCTACTCTTCACGTGCTCAAACTGCCAAGTGATCTCGCTATGGAGTGACTCGCATCGGATGAGTGACCTGCTGCAGTTTTTTCCTCCTCTTCAGTTGAGTTGTTTCAGCTGCACACCACCACCGGCTTTTCTGATGGCTTCTCGACATCTACAGCAGTTCCATTCTGTCACCTCCATGTATGTCTTTCCTGGCTCCCGAGGTTCAGGACAAGCAGGTGATTTTGGATTCGTCACCACGCAGGTCCGGCGACACCGTACCTTCCTGGAGGTGCCCGGCATACTGAAAGTTTCAATCCTCCTCGAACCATCCTTCCACTTGGCTTTGAACCCACCGCGCACCTCTACCCGGTCAACTACGTGCCCTACGCCATTCAGGTGCCAACACTTACCAACCAGCAAGCGCCAAGCAACACTCATCCCCCTTCACCTGCTCCAGACAGTGGTCGACCATCCTCCTCGTCAGGAGCCTCAGCCGGACCTTCATCGACCAGATCTCCGCCAACAAGATGCAAGCCGGTCCAGGCGACAACCAGATGACGGTCGACGAACCAGATCAGATTCTCGGCCACAACTTGATCGTCGTCGGCTTTCAGCACGACCACTTCGATCGGACCCGCGCCAACGCATCCCACATCGTCCGCTCAGGACATCGCGACCGACAGGCTGAACGTGCTCCAGTTCGTGATCCCCAACCTCCACGTTCTCGACCTGGTGAGCCTCAATCAAAAACAGCACCTCGCCCTGCCAGACGAGTCGATCCCGAACCACATGAAGAAATGAACGAGTGGCGCCAAGCCATCGCAGCCGCCATGCAGGACCGTAGCAGAGTGCTCACACTTGTCGGGATTCCAGGACTTCAGGACATCATTCGCTCCGTCGATCAAGATCTACCCATGTCCCAAGTCCAAGTCTTGACTGACGCCATCCTGGGCGCCGGCATCCACGTCCACCGGGAAGACGTGTTCACACGGTCCTACCACCAGAACACCATGCGCCTGACCGGCATCCGCTTGCACTTCCGCGACGCCAGCCCCTTCGGCAATGTGGCTCACTACCACTACTGCTGGGCTCACGGAACAACTCGGGCCGGAGCCGCAGGAATCCTCAAGGACCGCTTGCTCCGACCCAACTCATGGAGCAGCGGATCAGACTTCCCCAGTTTCGGATTCTTCGGGTACGGCGCGCAGGGCCACCTCAATGAATACAACGCCAAAGAGCTCCTGCGGAAGTTGCACCGAATTGGCAAGGGACAGCAGGCCGCCGTCATCCTTGGCGAGTACTCCGGCAACGTCGCTCACGCCCGGACAGATGCGGGAGGAGTCAGCGAGATTCAACGCCTATGCCGGCATCATGGTGCAGTCCGTGGTGACTACTGGGCATTCCATGCGGCGCACTCCACCATCAGACAGATCATCGTGGTCCGACCGCTTTGACGGCGTCCCAGCAGCTGAGCATCATATGAGGGCAAAGCGGTGAAGACGGAAGACGTTTCACCTAGTCTCACGAGGTGTCTCACGGATACACGCAGGCCCTTGAGCAAACAGGTTCGCTCCGTTGTCTCACCGACACCATGAGTTTTGGACGATTGGAAATCCCTGGTTTTTTCTCCGTCTCACCGCCACTTGGTTGAGGTCACCTTCGACTCCATATCCCTGTCTCACCGATGTTTTGTTTCGGTCCCCTCGGAAAACCCTGCTCGTCTTTCCGTCTCTCCGCCACTCACTTGGTTGAGGTCACCCTCGGAACAGCCATGTTTCACCGCACTTCAGCCGAATCTCACTGAGACTTTGGATTTGCGACTTTCCATGACCAGACCATTTGCATCAACAATACGCCACTTTGATTGACCGTGTCAAACAGAAATGGAACGAGGTGAAGAACCTGCCGATTTAGGTCTCAGCTTTGTCGCTACACTGCTCAGATGCGATCTGCCGCAAAAAGCGGCGTGTGTGTGTGTGGAACCTTCTCTTGCACGAAGGCGGCGTCACGGCCGATATTGGAATGTCTGCGGTATGAACACGAGCAGGGGGACCAGGGATGCTTGACTTGGCCTGGTCCAACGAAGCTCCAAGTCTTGCATCAGGATATGGCAGAAGGACGCTTCAGCCACGTACCTGCGCGCGATGATAAGCTGTTGGTTACCCACTGAATTCTGTGCCGTGATGTTGATGCTGTTGGTCTGTAACTAGAGTGACACTGCCTGGATATGACCTTTATGACTTCTCTGCATTCCAAAGTGTGTGGGTGTGTGTGTGTGCGTGTGTGTGTTTTGCTTGCTTGCCTGTTTGTTTGCGTGTTTTTGTTTGTGTTTGAGTTGTGTGTGTGGTTCTTGCTCGATTTGTGTGTGTGTGTCTTCCTTAGTGTTTCATGTTGTTTTTTGATTTCTTTGTTTGCCTGCCTGCTTGAGTGGCCGCCTACTGTCGTGCGTCCACTGGGCCTTTCGTCTTGTCCCATGTGAAAAGTTCTATAGCCCCCCCCTGTTTTGGGGTGCCCGGTCAGCGTTCAACAAGGGCGGCATTCTGATTTGACAAGCTGGTGTCATGAAATCACCTCTGTTTGGGCTGCCAAGCGAAGCAGAATTTGGCCGCACGCGGCACCTCGAATTTGGAAGAGCACGTTCGAACATGTCGATGTTGGATCAGATCCGTAGGTTGCGGATCTGGAGGTTTGCACATCAAGCTGGCTGCTCGGCTGAGGCCTACGTGGACGATGAGCGACTCGGCCCCGTGTTTGAGGCGGAACGGGCCGACGACGGTGACAACTGAGTGCAGCGGGGTTTTGCGTCCAGGTCCCCCAGTAGTGCCCTTTGACCAACTTTGTTTGGGGTAGGGTTCCCCTCCAAAATCGACAAAAAAGGAAAACAAATGGTATTTAACTTGTTCTAACCTCTCGTTCGGAGCTCTCTGGAGTAAGGTGTCCAGGGCCCAAGCGCTCTGTGCCTTGGACATATTCAATGGTTGGAATGGCCCCTACGTCCATCTGCCTGTTCAAGGGGTGGCCATGGATATGAAACAGATGGCCAAATTTGGTGATTTGTTGGACCCCCTTTGAGAGACAGCAGGACACCATTTCAAAAATGGGGTACCCCAAGATGGGTTGCCCTGGTAAATGGAACCCATGGCTAAAACAGGTGGTCTCTTGGTGGTTTAATTTTGACCCACACCCATATCCCAAACATGGGCCCCCGGGTTTCACAAAAGAGAGGTTCGCTCGGCCGCATTCGCACGCAACAGATTGGGCCATGAGATCAAGTCAATCTGCTCCAGGCATTGCAGATGGGGGCAGCCATGCCATTAGAAGACCTGCTTGCTGGGTCCCTTACAGTGCACCTTTGAGGGATTCTCAGAATTAGTTTTCGGGTGGTTTCCTGTTACCACACAATTTGCAGGTAGTTTGGTGAGGATGCCAGTTTTATTTGTGAGGATGCCACTTTTATGCAGCCAGACTTGGCGCAGCTAGTAATCTACGGATGGCTGTAGATCCTTTAGCTGGATACACAGAACCATGAACATGGCGCGCTCGTTCTCAGCTGACGTGTGCGGGCGGAGTTTCAAACTCCTCTCAGGAGGCCCTCTAGTAGTTAGCAAGGGGTCAAAAGACAACTCCAGGCCAAGTGCACCTACAACTTCACTGTTCTTGGCATGTTTTTGTTTTTTTAGTTTTTTGGTTATGTTCATTTTTACTGGGGGTCTGCAAAAAACAAAGTTTTTCGCTACCATACCAAGAGTAAAGATGAACAACCCAACCGCTGCATTTTTTGGTGGACATTCGCCAACGGGGCGACATTGGGCTGATGCAGGCGCTGCTGAACAAGATCCACGAGAGCCCCAAGATCTTCAAGTCCATGATGCTGGGCATTTGAGGCGGCTTCCGAATCGATCTCCAAAAAACCACCGAGGAATCGCGGAGTTTAGTGAGTTTTGCTGAGGGAGTCGGATTTGTTGCCCTTTGTCCCCAGTTTTTGAGGAAAGTGGCAGGAACCCTATGGTGAAGAACGGAAGAGAGGGTACATGAGGGTGCTGTTGCACCAAAGCAACAGGGGATGCCTTACAGCTCGACTCAGTTCGCCAAGTCCTCATGCACTTTGTAAGAAAGGAGCTACCACTAACACAGTTAAACACATCCGAGTGAGTGGCGAGTCGTTAAAACGAAGGAGCCTCATATGACCCAATACCCTGAAAAGGAAGGCGTCTTTAAAACACGTCCGTTTGATTAGACGTTTCCCTTGGATGACCCTATTCCCATGCTGAGGGCAGGACTGGGAGCATTTTGCCATAATAGAATCTACATTTTATCACGGAGCCAAACTCCCATCGGACCCAACAGGGGTGAACGTTCACAAACATCTTGTCTCAGCTAGAAATCATTGTGAGAGTGGCCAGAAGAGTTTGTTAGGTGTAAGCAAGGCTCACTTCTGCTGTTTCTTCCCACGTTTCAATTGGTTGCACAAACTTCACTTCGATCAGAAGTTGCATCAAAGGATGGGGAACATGGCCCTAGCCTGTTGCATTTCGATATTCGAGCCCTTTCTGCATTGCTGCTTCAGGGTGAGCCGGGTGTCTCGGCAAAGATCAACTTTGCAGGGGGGTGTTCATATTTCTGCTGTTTGCCCTGGGCTTCTTGGCAAGATGCTAGGAGCTTCTGTCGACCCGCTTTCCAAGTTTGGAAGGTTTTCTTCCATTTGCTTAAGAATAAGTGTTGATTTTTTTCCTTGTTGGTTTTGAAAGGAACTTGTCACTATTGGACTTTTTTCCAGGGGTCTTAACCAAATGGAAGCTTTTGATGACCCATGTTGTTGTAAGCTCGTGGCTTGACCGGCACCTGGCGTGAAATTCAGGCCACATCCTGAGACGTGTACAGGCGATGCAGCTGAAGCGGCTGAAGCGATCAACATTTTTTGTCACCACACCGTTGACGGGGGGCAGTCAGACCACTAAACCTGCAGCAGCCCACATTGACTTATTTCAATAGGACATGGTTGGGGCGGGGTCGGGTGGTAAAACTTGTCAGCGTGTCTGCAGCTTGGATAGGCTGACTACCAGATACGTGAAGGGAGCTCTTTACTTTCATCTCCAAGCAGGAAAGTTTCAGGGATCCTTGTAATTACTTCCCGGGTTTGGGTGGTTTATCGCCTTTCAGGCTTTCAGGCCAAGTGTGACTGAGTACGCTTTTCCGTTGGGGGATATTGCATTGTGAAGGGACATAAGGAATCATGAGGTATGAGCTACGTCCACCTCGAAGAGTTAGGGGTTTTCCACGCTACCTCAATACTTGTTTTGATGCTCACATTTCCTAAAGGCGAGAAGATCCTTGGAACATGTTCATTACCTCGAAACGAACACAAGCTCCCCGTGCTGCCCCTTCAAATGGCTCCGCCGCGGGACTGCGATTCTTCGCTGAGCCAGGGCTGCCAGCAAAAGTCTAGGGGAACCTTCCCCATTCTTTCCAGGGATCCTTCTTTCTAGAAAAACCTCCGGAAACCCAGGGAAAACGGATCCGGTTTTTGGACAGAAATGGCGGAACAGAATGGAAAAGGAATCCTAGAGACCAGGGAAAACCACACTTCACGGGGTCCACATCCCTATTTTGACAGCCAAAAGAACGAGGAATCAATTCTAGAGGGGTCTTTTGGGTTGAAGGAAGGGTGCAGCACATCCTCCGGGTGGTGGTGGATCTTAGGGTGAGCTTGTGGAGAATCAACCCCTAGAATCAGAAAGAAAGTTGATCGTTTTCCGCCGGCCGGGCGCAGAGGCCCACTCACCGGTTTCAATGAGACATGGCCATGGTTCAATACCAATGGGATCCCATTTTGGGATAGGTGTGAATCCACCCATTTTAGGCTTTAGTGGTTGGATTGGGATGTTGACTGGGGGTACGGGTTTTGACCCATGGCCACATGACTGAGCAGCTGCCAAAAAAGTGAGTCTTTCGGGTGCCCAAGCCATGGCAAAAGCTTCTTTGCTCACTTCCTGAGTTCCTGGACGTTCACCTTTTTGGGAGGATCATTTTAGTGGTAAATACAAAGTTCGGTTTTTTTTTTCAGCCAATCCACTCAGGAGATGAGATTGGAAGGACTTGGGGCCTTGCAGTAGGGTAATAAGGAGGATCTGTGGAGCAGACCATTGAGAAAGGATGCAGATGCTTTTGGACAGGTGAATATGTTTTGAAGATCGAGGGGCTTTCGGAATCCCTGATTGTCTGGTAGTGCATGAGTCAGTTGTGTCAAGAAGGCCGGGCGTAGACAAGCCAGTTGTAGTGCTGCGAAGATGATCAGCATATCTTAGGACTGGGTGAGTTAGTGGCACGGGAGGAATAGGGTGGAAGAAAGCCACAGCAGCGGTCAAAGTTCACCGTCATCCAATGTAGTCAAGGAAATGAAATTGCCACTAAGAGATTGCCAATGTCATTGGAGGACTCAATGAACATTGACTGTGGCTCACACAGCCTTTGCCTACGAGTCAATCATGGTGAGTTTGTGTTGTCCAGAGTTTGTTCTTCGTTGTTTGGGGTGAACTATCAGTTGCAACCTCAGAAACAGGTAATGAATAGTGGCTTGCCGTTGTCGATCAATGGTCGGATGACTTCAGACATTGTCATTGTGGTTTTGACTTTTTGGCGGCTGCCAACTCGGTCGACTCACAGCTGGGTGCCAGATGTAACATGTCGCAAAAGTAGCCATCGGTTTCAACAAATGTCCCTCGTGGTTGTGTAAGTTGGGTGCAGAGTGCACATGGCACCCAGACTGCCAACCGTTTGCACTTTGTTGCGGCCAGTTTGCATTCTGCCGGATGTGCAGATCCGGCAGGGCGAGCTTGTAATGCCAAGTCGACTCTGAGTTCCAACGCCATTTGCTACGTACAGACTCAATATGAAACATCTGTTTTTGCGTACCACAGATGTGGGCCATGTATCTCAAACTGCAGGTCTCTGCCAAAGCGAAGCCCTTTCTCTTATTTCCAGCTTCATCTTCAGAACACACCCATTGTTTGTTATATCAATGACGTCCACAAGTGCCATTGGGAAGACCCCGTGATGGCAATGTGAGGACCTCTTTGTGACTACTTCATACAGTCAGACACACTTGTGGTTTTCCGCACTCGAAGTCTGGATTTAGCGTGTGGGACCATTTTTTGACACACAACAAGGTGGTTGTGCTTGCATCGTTGCAGGGAAGGATAGGTTTGTTTTGACATGGGGGAAGCCAACATGTAAGGGAATGAACAATCCCACACAGAGTATCCTCCAAAGGAACACACTCAGACAGTATTGAAGAAAACGAGGTGCGACCGCTTCTGAAGAGCCAACTGTTTTCTAGACGAAAACCAGACTTCCTCGACTTCATTTGCCCTAGATACTCACATGGGCGTGAATCTTAATTGGGGACCCTTTGGCGGACATCATTTACATGGGGATTTGTGTCCACCAGCCACTTTTGAGGGGGTTCCCTACTTGAACTCATGGCCACATCAAGGCGTGTTTCTTTTGGAACTCCGGGCTCAGAGGAATCCGACCTGGGAGGTTTCACCGCGGCACCCAGTCCATGGGTTCTGTGCAAGTTCGCGGTCTGCGTTTGGCGTCAATGTATCAGTTGTTCAGTGGCACCCTTTCTCCCTTCTTTTTGGTGCTTTCTCCCTTTTTGTTGGTGGCTGCCCCACAAAAAATGGTCCTCCCCAGAAAGGGTTCCCTTTTTTTCCAGGGTCACTGAACAACTGAGATTTATGCGACAACTTCCTTCATGGACAGTTCTTGCGCAGGAGAAGTCAGATTGCTTAGAACACATGCCTGTGGCAAGTGAGAAGTCGCCAAAAGTAGACTGTTGTCCAGATGTCGTTTTTTTTTGATGATAGCATTATGTATATATACATATATATATATACATATATATATATATATACATATGTATACACATGTATACATGTGTATTTGTGCATGCGTTTATGTTGATGGTTCAATCGGAACGATATGTGCACGGTGATCTTTCTGCACCGCTTCGACGCGATCGCGGAAGAAGAATGGGCGGCCTCCATGGAATTGCCGGTGCTTTGGGATCCAGTTGCGGCGTTGGGCCTCGGTGTGATGTAAAGTGGCTGGGGCCGGCAGATGTAAACTGGGGTTTGACATACTGCATATGCAGTACATTTAGAGGTAGAAGTGTTATTCCCCAAACAGTTTACTGTTGGGGTTCTTAAGTCTTACTAACAATTGATGCTGTCACGAGATGGTCTGGCCTTGTCTCCCGGCTTGTTTCCTCGGTCAGCTCTTTGTCTCCCCAATTGTTTCCATGTGTCTCCCCACTTGTTTCCTCACGCGCTTGCTGCGCTGGATCCTGTCACGAGATGCTCTGGCTCGGTCAGCTCTTTGTCTCCCCACTTGTTTCCATTTGTCTCCCCGCTTGTTTCCTCACGCGCTTGCTGCGCTGGATGCTGTCACGAGATGTTCTGGCTCAGTCAGCCCTTCGCCTCCCCACTTGTTTCCATTTGTCTCTCCACTTGGTTCCTCACGCGCTTGCTCGCTGGATGCTGTCAAGAGATGGTCTGGCTCGGTCAGCTCTTTGTCTCCCCACTTGTTTCCTCACGCGCTTGCTGGGCTGGATGCTGTCACGAGATGGTCTGGCCTTGTCAGCTCTTTGTCTCCCCACTTGTTTCCTCACGTGCTTGCCGGGCTGGATGCTGTGTCTGGCTCGGTCAGCTCTTTGTCTCCCTACTTGTTTCCTCACGCGCTTGCTGGGCTGCATGCGGTCACGAGATGGTCTGGCTCGGTCAGCTCTTTGTCTCCCCACTTGTTTTCATTTGTCTCCCCACTTGCTTCCTCGTGTTCTTGCTGGGCTGGATGCTGTCACAAGATGGTCTGGCTCGGTCAGCTCTTTGTCTCCCCGCTTGTTTCCATTTGTTTCCCCACTTGTTTCCTCACGCGCTTGCTGCGCTGGATGCTGTCACGAGATGCTCTGGCTCGGTCAGCTCTTTGTCTCCCCACTTGTTTCTCCCCGCTTGTTTCCTCACGCGCTTGCTGCGCTGGATGCTGTCACGAGATGGTCTGGCTCGGTCAGCTATTTGCCTCCCCGCTTGTTTCCATTTGTCTCTCCACTTGGTTCCTCACGCGCTTGCTGGGCTGGATGCTGTCACGAGATGTTCTGGCTCGGTCAGCTCTTTGTGTCCCCACTTGTTTCCTCACGCGCTTGCTGGGCTGGATGCTGTCACGAGATGGTCTGGCTCGGTCAGCTCTTTGTCTCCCCACTTGTTTCCTCACGCGCATGCCGGGCTGGATACTGTGTCTGGCTCGGTCAGCTCTTTGTCTCCCTACTTGTTTCCTCACGCGCTTGCTGGGCTGGATGCTGTCACGAGATGGTCTGGCTTGGTCAGCTCTTTGTCTCCCCGCTTGTTTCCATTTGTCTCCCTACTTGTTTTTTCACGCGCTTGCTGGGCTGGATGCTGTCGCAAGATGGTCTGGCTCGGTCAGCTCTTTGTCTCCCCACTTGTTTCCATTTGTCTCCCCGCTTGTTTCCTCACGCGCTTGCTGGGCTGGATGCTGTCACGAGATGGTCTGGCTCGGTCAGCTCTTTGCGTCCCCACTTGTTTCCTTACGCGCTTGCTGGGCTGGATGCTGTCACGAGATGGTCTGGCTCGGTCAGCTCTTTGTCTCCCCACTTGTTTCCTCACGCGCTTACCGGGCTGGATGCTGTGTCTGGCTCGGTCAGCTCTTTGTCTCCCCACTTGTTTTCTCACGCGCTTGCTGGGCTGGATGCTGTCGCGAGATGGCCTGCTGGCTCGGCGCTTTGTCTCCCCACTTGTTTCCATTTGTCTCCCCACTTGTTTCCTCGTGTTCTTGCTGGGCTGGATGCTGTCACAAGATGCTCTGGCTCGGTCAGCTCTTTGTCTCCCCACTTGTTTCCTTTTGTCTCCCCGCTTGTTTCCTCACGCGCTTGC